GGACATCATGCTGGGTAGAGTAGAGGGACAGCGCAGGAGGGGAAGACCCGCTATGAGGTGGACTGATTCAGTGACTGGGGTAATCGGGATGGGTGTGTCAGAGGCAATGAGATTGGCACAGGATAGAGCAGGGTTTAGGGCTGTTGTACATGAAAGATTAAAATTAAAATAGCCCCTATAGTTCTCAGCTGAATTAAACTCAGGTTTCTATAGTTCTCAGCTAAGTTAAACTCAGGAATTTTTCCATTGTCCCAGGTAGAGCCCCACACCCAGTTGTATCCAGGGCAACAGTATTTCAAGAATGGCTAACTACAGGGTAGGACAAACAAGCAGATGTTTCTCGACTGATAACCCATGTGCCTTTGTTTCCCGACTGATAACCCATGTGTCTTGTGCTTTTCCACTGCCCTGGAGTTTGAACTCATTGTATACTTAAGAATTTGTGAAACCATCCTATAGTTAAAGATCTGTCTAACTGCTACATGTGCTACATGACTGCCACATGTGCTACGTGCAAATATGCTGTGTAAACCATGAGCGAAAACCGAACCAATGAATTCAAACTGTGCTTTCATTACCCAATGAGAAGCTGATACCCAGTTGTATCCCCCTAAAGTGTATAAAAAGAGCCAACTTTGTCTGCTCGAGGTCGACTCCTCTGTCTCCTGTGAGAGATACATGTCGGCCCGGAGCTCTGCAATAAACCTCTTGCCTCTTGCTGTTGCATCAAGCCGGTGTCTTGGAGTCTTGGGTCTTCGCCGTCCGCTCGGGACAGGGTAGGGCCACCAGTCCGGGGGGTCCTTCACACATAGGGTCGCTATGAGTAGCAAATGACTCAACGGCACATAACAACAACAACAACAAAATTCTTTAATGATTGTATTGTTATATGCCGTTGAATTGCCTGTGATTCATAGCAAACCTATGAATAACAGCTCTGAACCATGCCCTATAATGAGCCAATCTCACTATCTGGCACATTTATCTCCATTACCCCAGTTACTGAGTCAATCCATCTCATCTGGGGTCTTTCTCTCCTGTGCTGTTCCTCCACTCCTCCAAGCATGATATCCTTCTCCAAGGACTGATACGGAACTTCAAAATTCTTGTTTTCAAGAAGCAGCTTAGTTTCATCTCCAGGACAGACTTGTTTGTTCTCATGGCAGACCATGGAATGTTCACTCTTCTCCAGCACCACAACTCAAAGGCATCAATTCTTCTTCTATCATTGTCTTATTCCTTAGTCATCATACAGCTCTCTGATGCATAGCAAATAACTGCAAAGACCATGGCCTGGATCAGGCATACCTTCGTCTCTAGCCTGATACCATTGTTCTTCAGCACTGTGGAGATAGTTCCTGACAACAGATTTTCCTAATCCAATTCCATTTTTTATAGCCTTTTAGAAAAAAAGAAACAAACCTGTAATTCCTTAAAATGTATTAACTCCTATGTCCAAGAGTACTCACTCCTCTTCTTTACTTTCCATTTGCTAAATAGTGCGGTTTTCAAATTTCAATACTTGTGGTCCATTAAAATCATCTTAACTCTCTTCTGAAAGGAATGAATCTATCTTCTATATTGTCAAATATCTCCACTAGAAGAATGATATTAAACTACAACTAATACTAATTGGTCACACCTGTTTATATTCTCCACCTGCCTGTCAAGTACTCCCATTTAGATGCACTTCCTTGTCATATTAAAAATCAGTTTATCTGAAACTAAAACATCTCCTCATTCCCAACAGCTTCTTTATTTGCAAATCTGCACTCAACAACAATTCACTGTCACAGACCTAACATTGGGTTTCCAACACTGTAAATCACTCAGATTTATCAATGGTGCCACTGGTGGATTTGAATGGCAAGAAAGGCTCCGCCTCTGGATTAGCAGTGCAACCCCCAAAGGACTAAGGAAATCAGAGCTCCAAATCTGCCGGGCCTCTTAATGGGCTTATTCAACAAATACTTAAAGAACATTTACTACCTTCTAGGCATTGTGTTAAGCATATAATGGTGAATTACTATAGTATCTGTTTTTATCTATAGAGAGTCTATGTGGGAAAGAGTAAAAAGCCCTAATGGTACAATACTTAAGCACTTGGCTGCTGGCTGAAAGGTCAACAACTTGAACCCAGTATCCACTATGTGGGAGAAAGATGTGGAGGTCTGCTTCCAGAAAGATATAGCCTTGGAAACCCTATGAAACCATTCTACTGTTTACATTATGAACCAGAATCAACTTGACCGCAATATTTTATTTTGGACTTGGGCAGAAAACAATAACTAAGAAAGCCAAAGCTTCTCTTGGGTGACATTTACTGTTCATTTTGAACAGTGCTCAACATGGTATGTATTAAATTATTTGTTGAATTATTTAATTTAGGATGAGACTTGGCGGCTGAAAAGTAACTGGCCCTGAAAATAGCATAAGTGCTTAAGAGCAAGCAAACTGGGCTCACTGGGAGAAATAGGAAAAGCTGTGAGAAAGAGGTAAAAAACAAGGACATGGATAGGCATCTAGATTTTTATCCTAAATCCAAAAGAAAACTACTGAAAGGTTTTACAAAAGAGAGTGACACAATCTGTTATATGTATTTTAAAATCACTCTACATACTCAATGGCTGTTACTCTGAAACAAAAAAGTAGAAGGAAAGAAATGAGTAAGGCGCTCTGGTAATATTTTAGATAGACATAAAAAAGTAGATTAAATAAGGGAAGAGAGAGAAGAAAAGCTTCCTATTTGTTAGTTATAACCAAGGTTCTGGTTATTCAGCCTCCAAATCTCAATTTTATCCAGCTTGTCCCTTAAAACCTCAAATTCTTCTTCCATATCTTTAGTCTCCATGTTGCCTAAAGCTATTTCCTAAGACTGTACTTAAAATATAAAAAAAGTTCCTATCTTCAATCTCTATTTTTTAATCCATCAGATTCAGTCTAGCTATTATTTACTAAATTTGTCTTGGGAAAAGTACAAGGGTGGCTCCCAAGAAGCAAATATGGTGAATCTCTGTTTCTTACATTGTTGTTGTTATGTGCCATCGAGTCATTTGCGACTCACAGCGACCCTATGTACAACAGCCCTAAACCGTGCTCTATCCTGTGCCAATCTCATTACCTCTGACACACCCATCCTGATTACCCCAGTCACTGAATCAATCCACCTCAGAAGCTAGTCCTTGAAAAAGTCATCATGCTGGGAAAGGTGGGTCAGAGAAGACCTTCAACATGATGGATTGACACAGGGACTACAACACTGGGCTCAAGTATATCAATGAAGGTGAAGATGGTGTAAGATATAGTTGGGTTCAATTTGTTGTTCAGAGGGTCACTATGAGTCATAATCGACTCAAAGGCACTTAGCAACAACAGAGTTTACTATCGAGTCCTTTTTCCTTAAACAGTGCTTCTGTCATGTTATTTCCCTACTCAAAAACCTACATTAAGGTTTGAACCCAACTTTTCTTTCCAGCTTTGTGACTTACTAATTCATCTACATAAATGTCCCTCAGGAGACGAACTGATTTTTATTATTATCTTCACTTTTTTACAATGGAGTCTTTATACATACCACTTTTCCCATGAGAAAGGTACTTTTTCTTCCTGTGTCTATTTAATGAGTTTAAAGTCAGATCCTGAACTCAGAAAAGGGAAAAGGGATGGTTTGGGTTTTTTTCATACTGTCTAGGAAATTCTAGTAGTTAAGACCTGTTGTAAGGAGTTGCACTACCAACCCAAAGGCAAGTGGTTTGAATCCAACAGCTGCTCCATGGGAGAAAAATGGGCAATCTCCTTCCATGGTATTTACAGACCCTGAAGACCCACTAGAGGGCCAGCTATGAGTTCTGACTCCATGTCACATAACAACATATATGCTACCTCTCAGATTAATAAACAAGACAACATTTCTGCTCTACCCAGAACATTAGTATTTGAATACAAATTTACTCTAATCAGCCTCAGCCATAAGCAAGACCAAATGGTAGGGTTGTGATGTATTCCTACAGGTTATCTTAGTTCTATCCCAATGGTAAGACAGACTATCAGAAAACAATCAGGTTTAATCATGTTTATCTTTTATTACTGTAAATAGAGAACCACAATGCAATGCTTTGCCCTCAATCATTAAGAGAATCAAAGTTGAACATCTACTATATAATTAGTATTTTTTTACATAAAAAGCTACATCCTCTTAAAAATATTCAGTTCTAAAAAAATTCTCCGCAGATGAAATTTTGAATCTTTTCTTCATTCCAAACAAGATATATAGCCAAAAACATTTCAATTTCAGTTTTAACTTGCAAAACCTTTTGAAAATTCACTCCTTTTATTTACTTTAGGTGGTCTCTTTCCTATTCTAATTTTACTGGTTTTAATTCTGCATTGCTTATTTAAACTGTAAAACTAGTAAATCTTTTAAAGCAGATGGAATCATATCTTAAGTAACCTTAGTTATCTTTCCCATAACATTCTCATTTTTTCCTCTTAATGTTTCATAAACACAAGGGGGGGTAAATAAAACCTTAAAATTTTTGACTGTTCATAGGAGTCTTAAGATTTAGAGAAAATCAATTTCTGGTCTTTTGTCAACTCCTATATTGGAGATGAAGAAAAAAAGTAGAAAGTATCATTTGAAGAAATATGCAACATAAAAAAAGTATTGTGAGAAAGTACTGAGGAAAGGTTCTACAGTCACTCTGTAAATAAAAATTTAAGTTTGGTCACAATTACCTTGGGAAAAAATCCTAAAATAACCTTAAATCACTTTTAAGTTTGTAGGCTCTAGGGCCCTTAGTATTTAGTAATTATTATTCTTTACATTTCAGGTATAATTTCTCTTTACTAGGAATGTCTCTCATTTCCTTTCCAAATAAGTATTCATGTAAAAGAAACAAATGATGAGATAAAAGAATCTTAAGAACACAGAACTTTTTAAAACAATCAAATCACATCAGGTATCTGCAAAAGATACAATAAAGAAAGGAAAGAAAGGTTACCTTGACAGCTTTCTGGGAATTGGGCAGTCCTTCTTCTATGTCTTCTAAAAGAATCCCTCCTAAGCCTCGCTGGTCATGCTTATCTAAGAGCCTAAGAAGGGCCTTCTTATCTTTCAAGTTGTACTTGGGCTTGAAGGCATACTTCCCATCTATTACTTCAATTTTGGGATTGTTAACTAATGCCTGTAAAAGTGACAAAATATGGATATATCAACAAAAATAAAAAACACATTCTTAAAGTCCTATTATTAAAAAATATAACACTATGCAATACGGCAGATTATAGGTATCAGCTACCAGATCTAAAATACAGAATAGCATCCTAGAACAGCAGAGGAAGGCATGCACAGTGCAGTCTTCCTATAAAAAACCTGGGTAGGCCGCTGAGCACAGGTTGTTGAAACTGCAGTAACCACCGCCTTCTTGACAGTGTTGTGCTGTGTTCTTCGCAGGTAATCTGCCAACATGGTTAGCTACTCGCTTGACCCGGAAAACCCCACAAAATCATGCAAATCAAGAGGCTCAAATCTCCGGGTCCATTTTAAGAACATCCGAGAAACTGTCCAGGCCATCAAGGGTATACATATCCAGAAAGCCACCAAGTATCTGAAAGATGTCACT